TATTACAACAATTACAATATTGTTTTTGACATTTTGCTATCAAGGTAAATTTTCCTTTTGATTTTCATTGATTTGTAATATAGATTTTCATTGAATTGTGTTGTAAAGGTGTTGAGTTTTTGTGTATGTTTGTTTCTTTTCTATATGTTTGTTTGCCGAGAATAAACAAGGTAAAAAGTTTAAAAACTAACACAAGATTTGATTTTTTTTTTCCTTTTAAAAATCAGGTCTTCCCCAGCCGTGTTAATTGGAAACGCCACAAACGTTACGCTGTGCTCCAACAATCGCTTGTGACATTTTTCTATCAGGTAACTTTTTTTCCTAGTAAATATGAATACTTGTTGCCACAATTACAATATTGCTTTTGACATTTTGTTTGTTTTCATTCTTTACTTGTTTGGTGAGAATATCTATAAAAAAGATTTCACTTGTGGTGTGTCCTTGTTTCCATTCTTTACTTGTTTGGTGAGAATATTGGTGCCGCTAAGCGTGTGCACAAAATAATGCACAACACTTAAGGTTTTGAAATAATGTCAAGTGGGCACCATATTTTATAATTTATAAAACCACTAAACACTTATACTATAGAGTATGAAGCGAGTAGGGATCGTCCCAAGAGATCTAAACAATTATTGGTTCTCAGAATTGAATTATACTTTAGTATTAATGTGATTGCTAAAAAAGGTTTTTTTTTTGTGATTAAAACTAATTTTAAACTAAATGATTGCAATAAAATAAATATAGTTTAAGAGATTGGAAAGAGACTTAGGGTGTAGGATTCACCACTAAGTACATTCTCTAACTCATTAACTTTTAACTAATTGGGGAATAAAAATGTGTAATCTAGAATGTGGCTAATAATTGTAATAAAAAGTATAAACCATCAATTTCAAGCATGAATCAACTACCTAATGACAATTAAACTAAGTGTAGTGTAATTCACCAATTCAAAGCATGATTCATCAATTTAAGTTACAATTTCAACACACATTAATCTAGAGGGTAATGCAATTGTGACAATAAGTATGGATTTCAAGCACTAGTATGAATTGTCTACTTACCTAGGAATTAAATTGCAATTAAATTAATTAACTTTAAATTAGACTAACTAAGCCTGAAATTAAACTATTTAGACAAGACATTAACCTAATTTTGTAGTACAACTCATCTAATAAAAGCAATTTTCATCAAATCAAAACACAATTACATCTAATTAATACAATGTATAGCCATCACAAGATTCAAGTCACAAAGAAATCAAGTGTAGAAATTGATTATCATTCAAAAACATATAAGGCAATACGAAATTGACATAGACAATCAAATGAAAGAATTAATATATATATATCAAGATTATAACATAAATTACACAAATTAATCCCCAAAAGTCAAGAGTTAAGAATTAGGTTACATGCTTAGGTTTATCCAACCCTAAGTTGAAAAATCAGCCACTCATGGTTGATGGATGCAAGATGTCAACAAGCCCCATTCTTTGATTCATCTGGCTCCTCTTTTTCTTCTCTGAGCTTTTCTCAAGAACCCTAACTTTTTCCTCTTCGTGTTTTCCAGAGAGAATAAAAATATCGATACAGAATAATAATAAAAAAAACTTAAATAAAAATCTAATAATATTCACCTAAATAAAATAAATAATAACCCTAATCTAATGGCTCACTGGGCCTTAAGTAACAACCCTATTAAAGCCCAATAGTTCACAAAATAAGCCCAAACAATAAATAAAAAAATCTGTAATGTTGCCAAGTCCTGGGGGATCGATCCCCCCAGAGTTGGAAATTTCCTTTTAGCTCCATTTTGGCTCCGGGCTAATTGGTTTGCTTCTTCATCTTTGGGAACATCATCAAAGGCCCGAGATTGACCGCTTTCGAAGAATAAACACAATATACGAGCAATGGGCTACGACCTCTTTTTTGTCATTTTCTGAACTTTTTCTGAATATCTTTTACTTAACTCCAAAAAGGCTTTAATGGACCGTTTTTAGCTCATTTTAACTTTATTGCCCTGAAATACACATAAACATAAATTAGGACTAAAACATGAAATTAAGATAGATGCAAAGACTGAAATACCCTAACTTAGGTGCTGAAATGCGCAACATTTAAGCACCTATCAAATATCTGTAAAAAATTCACTCGTGGCTGTGATATTGTGTTTTTATTTTTTTCACTTATGTTTTTTTTCTCAATCTTCCATTATTTTCACCTTTTTTATAAAAGAATGTAATTATTATCTATTCCTAAACGTTTCCTTTTCATGGAAGACGTTAATTAAGAGTTTTTATGGTCCAAATTAAATTATCTATAAATATAAATGACGTATAGACTTTTTTTTTAATTATTTTTATACATTTTTCACATTTTAAAAAAAGAGTTTGTATATATTTTGGACTCTTTAGAGACCTCAAAAAATGATAATTATAAATAAATTTCTATGATTTTTAGCCTCTACGTTTCTGGTTGAAAAAAACTAAATTTAAGTTTCTATATGTTTTATACAATTTTTATTTTTTGTTATTTTTTATATAAATATTAAGAAAAATTCATTAAAAAGTCTAATTAAATCACCCATCACGCATTGATTCATACTTTAGTTTCATTAAATCGCCTATATATTGTTATTTTTTTTACTATAAAAGTGCAAGAATTTTCATTTTTTATACACATTTTAGACAATCTTTTGAATATTTATATACATTGTTATTTCTATACATTTTTTTTTGTTATTTTTATCATTTGCAATTTTTATTTTTACAATAAAAGTGTAAGAACTTTTTATTAAAGAGTTATACCTCTTGAGTTGTCCATTAATTAATTTTTGTCGTTAATTATTAGTATTAATTTTTTAAAATTAAAATTAAAACTATATTAAAATGTGAAAAACCTTTATTTTTATACATATTTTAAACTGTATTAAAATGGGAAAGCCTTTTATTTTTATACACATTTTATAGTATCTTTTATTATTATTTTTGCTTTTTATAAACAATTCTATTGTTTGAATAACTACAATCCTTGAGTTTCCGCATCTCCATTTTTGAAGAGTTACACTAATTGAATTCTCCATTTAATTTTTGGTGTAATAACACTACTATTAAAAGTGTATGGACTTTTTATTTCTATGTTATATACGTTTTATACAATTTTTATTTTTTGTTATTTTTTATATAAATGCTAACAAATCCGCTCACGGTTGTGGAGAAGAAATGTGTTTTATCTTTCTTTAGAGTGTGATTTAGATAGTGAGTGAGAGGAGAGATACACAGAGAGAGAGAGAGGGGAAGAGGAGGGGTGCCAAGAAATGATAGAAGAGAGATGGACTTGGAGGGCATTTGGAGCCGAGAATTAAAATCTAATTATTTCCATTAAGATGCATCTCACCAGTTCTCCAATTTTTTTTTTTGTTTCTATCATTCTATGCCGGTGTGATTTGATCTTCTATACATTTTTTTAATTTTCATGGTTGACTGACCACTATCTTTAAGCAGTATTCAAGCTATTATAGAATTTGAAAATTATAACTTACGTGGTCAATATTCAAATTGACGAAGATCTTGAAGATTTCATCATCGCAACATGATAGATTTTCATGAGATGGTTGTGGATGGACCGCATTGAATAGAGGAAGAATATTATGAAGACAAGCAAAAGAGAGCTTTATGAACTTTCTTGGGGTGTCAAGACCGAGTTAGTTCTAAATTTATAAGATATACCCTGTTACATGATGCTTTCCGAACGTGTTTATAGGTTTGGAGTCTTTTTCTAATCTTAAAATTGAATTGTTAGAAAAACAACATCTATTGAATCTTTTAATCCATTTAAGTACATTAATATGTAGAATTTTAGAAATTTTGATGATTGTTATGCTTACTTTGATTCATCACCATCGTAGAAAAGTAATTTGTGCAAGTATCTAGAGTCTTATAAATGTGATGATTGCTGCTGCATGGGCATTCATTCAGGTCTGTCATGGTACTACTACCCAAGAGGTGAGACTTCAATTGGAACGCGCACATGTTTTATTTTATTTTTTTTTTTTGACTTATTTGCTGATACACATCAAATCATGTCTTGATTGCCCAGAAACTACTCATATATCGTTGGAATGGTGACCGAGTGATCTAAGGCATCTCTCTGACTTATTTGTTTTGTCACTGTATTGAATACTACTGTCCTAAAAGTTGGAAATCTAATGCTCTTTTACAAGCCTTTAGAGCTCTGTTTTGGGTTAACCATTAGGTGTGGGTTGGGCTACTTGGCCTTTTTAGCTTTATCCTAAGCCTCTTATTCCTATCTCTCTTGGCCCATTTTATGGGTCTCTACAATTTATACATATACCTTTTTGAAAAACAAAAATAAAAAGAACAAAACAAACACACACAAAAAAACTATTGACTGAATACCAACGAAAGTATAGGAGGGGTCTTGTAGATCCTACTAAAGTAAGGGTATATGCTTAGACTTTACCTCCTTAGATAATTTGAAACATGAAAGATGCAAAATATTTTCAAAGGTATTACTTTATATTTATATTCATTATAATTTTGAATCAAAATTAAGTTTTTTTTTTTTTCTTAAATACATATTATTTATAATTATAAATTTATAAAATGCATGCTCATTTATGCAAGTTCATGATCTATTTTCAAGTTGAGATATAAAACATAGACAAAAAATCATTATTTAATGCTTATTCAATCAAGTGCGATAATCAAGTGTATCGCACGTAAATTATACGAGTACATATATATATATATATATATATATATATATATATATAAACATGTTACCATGAAAAAGAAAGATGAAGATTGAAAATCCTAATTGGACAAAATTGGTTTTATTTATCATCAATATGTGTGTGGGCATAAATTAATTAAAAAAAAAAAAAGGACCGTTAACCAGTTTGCTCCACGGCTTTCTGGGAGATTCTTCTTGTAATTACGTGGACGTACTTAACCACCAATATATACATATATTGCATTCCCACCAAAAATATTTCTTATCTTCCAAACAGAACAATTACACAAACTGCCACTCTCCCCCTCTCTCATCCATGGCCACTCTGCATATTCACCAAGCTCTTCTCCACTTCCTTCACTGTTCAACCTCACCTTCACCAAAACTCCCTCCTTTTCGAAACCCTAATTTCACTCCACTTTCCAGGAAAATTAGGGTCTTTAGATCAAGCTTTAGAGGCAGGGATGGAGTGTTCTCTGTTTGTTGTCTCTGCAAGGCGAGTTCCGGTATCGACGAGGTATCAGTATCGGTCCCGGAGGAGATTGAGCGGCCTCGGTTCGATGTCAATCTCGCCGTCATTCTTGCTGGTTTTGCATTCGAAGCCTACACAAGCCCACCTGTAAATTAATTCTTGAGTAATTCGATAATTTCAATTCTTCTCTTTTTGTTCTCTTGTATATTTTACCTATTCATTTGGGACCTGAGAAATTGATGAAAAGAAAATAAAAGAAAAAAATAGAAATTTATTGGATGCTTCTTATTGTTTCAGTTTGTGACGAGTGAAAAAATCAGTATTGAAAATAGCCGAAAAAGTTCAATCAGTGTATAATGAAAGGTTTTGTTTTTAATAACTTGAATGATTTCTGATTTCCTACATTTTGCTGAAATGGAGGGAAACAAAAAGAAAATTAGATCTAGAATTTTGTGGTACTTGCTGTGTTGGGTTCAAAAGAATGAAAAGCTCAACTCAATTGACCTGATTATCTAATTCTATAAGTCCTAGCTCTTCTTGGGTGCTGAGAAAATGGTGAAACTAAATAGGTTAAAATTAAATTTGGACTGTTATAATTTATGATTGCCTCTCAACTGAGCTAAATTATTTTGCAAGGCTAAATTGAGTGGTAGTTTTTGTTTTTTTTAGGATTCAATTCATAAGTGTCCACACAATTACTAGGTTCAGGTATATTTTTTCCAGTTTTTGATCCGCTTTGACTGATATCAGGTTTGTTTCTGACCAGGAAAATGTAGGAAAGCGTGAAGTGGATGCAGCTAATTGTCAGATGGTTTTCCTTTCAGAGTATGTACATAATTTAACTGATTAATCCAATAACAGTAAGCTTAATAAAGAAGTCATATCTTTAAGTAAAAATGTGATTTTCGTACTTCTGCAATAAAATATTATTTTGTTTAGTTGATAATCACCAAAAAAATTTGACACTCTCTAATACTGAAACCTCAGATACTTGGAATTATACCTTCTGTGAAGTAACATTTTTTTCTCTTTTCACCTTATTGACATCAAGTGAAGGAAGTAACAAGATGGTTCTCAATTTTCTTTAAGATTCAGTTGCTTTCTGTTCCTCTAGAGGGTAGCCCGTGTCAAGTGTTAATAAAAGTACCAAACGAGTTGTTAGTTATCCATAATGATAGTTAGATGGAGGGAGAAGCAACTTGGTTATCAAAGGTGTTAAAAACACTATAATCTGGACTTTGTTCCCATTAGTCAAGGTTGCTAGTTTATTCATGACGAACTGTAAATGTAACACTGAGGATATACTGTGAAATTTTTTGAAGACATGTACTAGTTGGTTAATATATTCTTGTATATGTATATCAAGAAATATAATGTGTTGTCCTTGAACAATGGTCATTTTGTCAAAAGTCGATTTGATCTATTAGGGCTGTCTTAAATAAAAGCGGAGGGGGGGAATATTTTAGAAATATGGAGAGTAGGTGCAGGAATGAAATAAGAGATTTTACAGGACATGGATTCAAATTAAAAAAAGGGTGGGGGGGGGGGGGGGGGGGGTGTACAATCCGGAGCAAGTATATGCATCACAGGAAACACTTTAGCCTGTCTCTCAGTCTCAAATAATCTTAGGAGGCCAATAGTGTCCAATGGCTCTTATATTGACTTGTATTAGAGATACTTCAATTCCCATCTTTTTAATTTTTTATGATTGTCGCCTTTATCTAACGCTTGTCATTTGCTCTTATCTCTTGGATCTCTTGTCAAATCATGGATATTTTTCTGATTGGAAGACAAAAGTGAATTGGTCTGCATTGTGTATTGCTGAACCATCTTTAATGGCTTTACGTCATTCCAATTGTGCACCTTAAGCTTCAGATTCTATTAAAACTAAAATAATAATAATAATAATAATAATAAAAGAATTGAGTTTAGATGGCATAATATCAGAGGAATGAATGGTTGATTTATGCATCAACTTTGGTGGCTTAAGTTAGTATTTGAAGGTTCTGTAGAAACAGAATATTTCTTATGAGATGTCACCTTGACATTAGGAAATGGTAATATGTTATAAGGATTTTGCTGGAAAACTCAGTTTGAGGCATTTCTGAATCAGTGTATGTATACAGACACGAATTATCAATCATAATCAAACAAAAAATCATCACACAATCACAGTTCAAGATAAAAGTTAAGTTTGATCTCGAATCTGTAGGTCATTTCTGCGTGAGATTTATGATGGCCAGTTGTTCATAAAGCTGAAGAAAGGTCTCAATTTTCGTGCCATGGATCCATGGGTATGTCATCCTTCCTGATTCTTTTTACATTGTCAAATACCTGAATTTCAGTTTTAGTTACACTTGCTGTTCAGCTTACTCTTATTGCTTTGGCTGATTCATACATTCTTTTCCCTATTTTTTTAATTATAATTTATCAATCCTCAAAGCCATAAATCTATATTGTTCAAATTGTTTCCATGTTATTTCAACCTTTTTTGTGCTTTCAGGGAACAAGTGATCCATATGTGGTCATGCAATTAGATAGTCAGGTTGTCAAAAGCAAGATTAAATGGGGGTAAGTAACTGATAATTTCATATATGTCCTTGAAAATTGTAAGGACTTGGTGAAGAGAGGGTAAAATGTTTGCACACAGCATGTTTTGATTGATAACTTCCATGTTGTTATACGATTTTTTTTTTTTTTTTTTAACAGACATCCACAGTTGGACTTACCTTACTGAACTTTTTATTTATACAAAGTGATAATTGGCAGACGTTATTGTGTAGAAAGATAACATAGCACATTGATATGTGAGAATCTTCAAATATATATATATATATAAAGATAAGGAAGAAATGATGTTAAGGTCTGATTTTCTCGTATTTCCTTTTGTGGTGCTTATTTTAATTGTACCTTTTAATTAATTATAGGAATCTGTACGAGTAAGTGGGTTTGTAGTGGTTTGACCTGTCCTAATTTCTTGTTTTTCTAATCTTAGATTAATTTCACTATTGCCCTTATCTTTTATCAGAGAAAGATACTACATGGTACTGTAGTTTTTGCAATCTTAAAATATTGAGTTATGTTGAAGGGGCATCACAAAATGTGATACTTATTTTATAAATATTTTTCGGTTGCTATGATAATGTCTATTTCTTGTTTGAGGTCTTATGAGGACACTCAAATCAACCCAGCCCAAAAGTTGCTCTTAGACCGTATCAGGAAGAGCATGATTTTATCTAATATCTGTGCTGCTTCCAATATATAGTTGTCTTATTGATGTAAATTACATACAAAAATAACGATGTTAGTGAATGGTGCAAATTCCTGTAATTATCTCTTTACAACTTCTTTTCATGTGTCTAAGCTGCTGATGTAGTGTTTTATATTCCAAAGGACAATTCCACACTTTTTAGAAACTTAAAAGTTTGATGTTTTGTATGGATGACGGAATAATGGCAGGACCAAGGAACCAACTTGGAATGAGGAGTTCACTTTAAATATCAAGCAGTCCCCAACCAAGAATCTTCAGGTTGTAATACTCTCTCTCTCTCGCTCCTGTTGTTCCTGATGTGGGAAGAAGCCCCTGCTCCCTACCCTAAGTTCTATAATATGTTATCTTCTCAAGTTGTTTAATGAATTGCACAGACACACACACCAAAACAAACTCGACAGATGTTGATTAAATAGTGGGTTACTACAGAATCAGAGAAGAAAAATCTCTTCAGAAATCTCATACTTTGTGAGAGAGATATAAATCATAATAGACCATCCTCCAGATTAGTCCTGTCTGTACCCAATCGTTACCTCCCCACCCCCAATTGATGTGTTTTGTTTGGCATTTATAGTAGAAATGTCCTTGAATTTTTGTTGCCCATCTTTGCTGATCCTTGTGAAACTTTGGGAACAAAACTATTCTCTTATATATATATATATATATACTTCGAGAACTGCATTAGTAAGTAGCCCCTTTTTTTACTGAAATTGACCTTATTTGTTATATCATATCAGTTTTATACATGGTTTGAATAAAAAATTGCAAAATGCCTGGAAACTTTATGAGCAGTATTGCATATGGTCTATCTGTAGTCTGTACTCAAGTTATTCACATTTTGGAAAATTGGGAACTTTAGCATGCTCATTCTTAGAAACAAGAATCTTCAGTTCATCATCCATAATGAAGATCACGCATGGGGATTTTGCACCACATTTTCAACACGTAGTTGTTCTTTAAGGCATCATTGATCTCCATATTTTAGACTATTCCTAGTTCTTGTATTATCTGAAATTAGATAACTAGGTGATTCTCCATGAATTGGCTAATTCATATACTGTTAAGTTTTGACCTTGAGAATTGCTATTATTGTTGCAAGGTGCTTCTAATTCTATTTTCTTTTCAACATTGCATCCTAATTTTAATATATGATATTTAAATTCAGGTTGCAGCTTGGGATGCAAATCTTGTAACTCCACATAAGCGCATGGGAAATTCTGCCATTAGTTTGGAATGCCTCTGCGATGGTGAGAATCCAGTGAATCACGTGCATGATATTGATTCTATTTTATTGTTTAATTTTTCCTTACTTGTCAGTGATTGAGTTTTCATTTATTCCATCTGTGGAAATGGTTTTGTTTACTATGTTAATCATCTAAGCAGCTGTTCTGCTTGCAACTAAAAGTTGCATCAACTTTTAATCCCCTTCCCCCTTTTGTTGACATTGTGTTGGAGTATATGAATAAATAAAGTTACACCCGCTGGCCTAAGCTAAAGAGCATTTGGTTGCTAATATGACCTTTTGGCTATGATAGCATATTAACAATTGTTAACCACCATCTACTCTAAAAGCTTAAGCTGTTAGAGAGTGTGTAACTGTAATATTTAAATCGTCTAACGACAACCAACTGCTTTAGAAGCTTAAGCTATTGGAGAGAGGTGTAACATATTCATTCAGTACAGAGTAATGGCTGCAATTATTCCCAATCGAATTATAGGTTATATGTTTTCTTATTTGAGAAGATTAGGTTTTTCATAAGGGATGCAAAATTTTTGTTATAGAATGATCAAATAACATATATGTCTTTTGCTAGGAGATCTGCATGAAGTGCTGGTTGATTTGGAAGGAATGGGAGGTGGCGGAAAGATACAGCTAGAGGTATCTTTTCTTTTTAAAACACTAAAAATAAATTGTTATGACAATTCATTAGTTTTAGGGCAAAAGTAGTACATCGGTTCTTTTTCTATTGTTCAAATTCAATCATTGTTCATGGAGATACTTATCTAAAATGTTGTTTATGTATCTCTAAACAATCAGAAGCTCTTACCAACTAATGAACTTTTTCCGAGCTTCCTCACCTGGAATACCCTAAGAGTTCTCTTCTTTCGGAAGATGAATGTCGTCTGCTTGACCTGGTTCTATGAGATGATGGCTTTCTCAATAATGCAAAGTCGGCTGGTTCTTTGATTTGCAATTGTACTGCAGTAACTACACTCTTATTGGTGAGCACCACGTACCACAGAGCTATAATTAGTTGGAAGGGTTAGTGCAGAAGTTGAATTGAGATTGATAATTCATGCTGTTTCCAGCTTTTGTGGCACAAGACCTTTCTCAGTTAGTTGGAAAATTTTGCAAAAGAGCCATGAGCTTGTATATAATGATGAAAAAACTCATCTAATAGGTACACAGCGGAGATTCCTACATCCACGATGGAGATCCGGCCAAAGATTCCACTATGTGAAAAACAGGAGATTACAAGTTTCAGCCCTCAAACCCTAGCTCTCGCTCTCACTCTCTTCTTTGCGATTTTCGATGTTCTATCCCCTCACTCCAAACCTAAACGCCCTTATATACCGGGCTACAAGAGAGTACTAAATAGGGTCCACAATCCACAAGCAAAAAATAGGTCAAGTTTTTTTTGGGACCACACAAAGCTCAATCATCGGGTCATCTGGTCAAACTGGGTCACGTTAAATTCAGGCCACAACATCACATATACAACTCTATTATCAGCCTTTACATATAATATAATTTGTATGACATGGGACAGCTTTTGTGCACTTGGAATAATGGTTCCTACAGTTGAATTTATGGTGGCTTAGCTGAACAAAAACTTGTAAATTTAGGGTTTTAAAAGGTTGGCCAAAAGTTGTACACTTTCAGTAATAAAAAAAGGTCAATCTCCACTTTGTGTCCAAGAATTTGGTGGTTGGAAGTTTTAGTTGGCAATTAATGTAGATTTTAGATGTTAAAGGCCAAAACAAGAGAACGATTGGATTTGATTAAGGCTTGGTATGGTAGAATTTTTGTGAGAAAATAGAGGTGGTTTGGTGGTTGTGAACTGTAACTTGAGTATAGTACTGGAAGAGAATAAGAAGCGTAAAAATAATCTATAGGTCCACTTAGAATTCCTTAAGAATTACAAGAAGTCAAACAAGCACACATTCTCATAACTTTATTCTTCATTAAATAGAAGTTTTACACAGATGTTTATTGGCTTCTGAAATACTACTGATGAACTAAGGCTTGGACTCTAAGATCAGAACCTTGGACTTTTAGAACATATATATATATATATATATTGACAGGTATGAACATTAAGGACACTTGGTCCTTCTAAAGACTCCTTACAAAGATCCGGTATAACAACTTTATCCAGAATTAGACCTACAGATCACTACTGCACTGCAAGCATGTCATTGGATCTGGAAATTACTAAATTATCTTACTCATGAAAATTATGAAAGCCCAAATGAAATTATACCAAAAGCATATGTTACTAAATTATCTTACTCCTGAAAATTATGAAAGCCCAAATGAAATCATACCATAAGCATATGTTATGAAAAATGCAGCGAACCCAAGAAACAACCGAGAAACACAACATAAAATAAACACACCACACACAAAGAACACAAAGATTTAGCATGGTTCGGCAAAGCCTACATCCATGGTGAATATCCAGCAAAAGAATTCACTATGCGAAAATCTAGAGATTACAGGTTTCATCCCCCAAACCCGCTCTCGCTCTCACTCTCACTCACTTTTTTGAGATTCAAATTTTCAGTCTCTCAATATCACAACCCTAAATGCCCTTATATATCGGGCTATAAGAGAGTACTAAAGAGGGTCCATGACCCGCAAGTAAAAAAAAGGGGTCAAAATTTAATCATCGGGTCAAAACAGGTCGCAACTCGACCCGGAACCAAATTCGGGCCACAACATCACAGCATATTATTTCAAATAAACGTAAATTCATACTTAATCACACCAGAAGTTGATTATACAATGTTTAAGGCATGTGTCATATTAAATTTCCACATGCTCTGCATTAAAGTAATCTCATATTGGTGGAGCATCCCACAGATTGGTGGAGAATACAAAACCAAATAACAATTGGGTGATTAAACAAGACCTCAGCTGCAATACCTTCCACCATTAAATCCTTTTATTGAAGAAGACCCCCAATTTTGTTTTATGTTTTGCATCTACATTTCAAAATCTCTGTACGAGCTTCCATTCAATCTTTATTCATGGAATCTTAACTATTTTGGCTAATCTTTCCACCAGTTGTTTAATTTCCTTCAGGTTTTCCCTTTCTATTTTTTTTCTTTCTTTTTTTTTTTTTTTTTTTTTTTTTTTTTTGCTGCCAACTTGTGGACAGTCTTTCGCTCTTATACTAACTAGCGCAGTAGGAGCACGAAGTGATAAAAACATCCCTTCTATAAGGAGGTTGCTGGGTATGCAGGAGCCTCATTTTCCTTGGAAGGCCATTTGGTGTACTAAAGCCCTCATTAAGGTGGTTTTCTTTTGATGGACGGCAGTTTTGGAGAGGATTTTGAGGATTGACAGTCTAAGGAGGAGGCATCAGGTTTTGGTCAATTGGTGTTGCACGTGTAAGAGGGATGAGGAGTCGGTGGTGAATTATCTCCTCTTGCATTTCCCAGTTGCTATGGATGGTTGCGGTTTGCTTCTTGCCTTTTTTGGTGTGTGTTTGGTTATGCCACTTTCCATGAGGAGCATACTTGAAGATTGGGATGGATGTATAACGGGGAAACAAGCTCGAGATGCCTGGAGGGTTGCCCCCCTATGCTTGTGGTGGGAGAGAAATAGGAGATCCTTTGATGGGGAAGAGACACCTATTTGGGTGCTCAAATTCTCTATACTTGGATCATTATTTTTTTGGATTCATGATTGGTAATGTAACTCTATTGAGTATCATATAATGTTTTGGATGGTCTGAGATTATAGGGGTTCTTTTTGTTTTTGTACTTCATAAGCGGGATGCGCTCCCCCTTTGAGTGCCTTTCAATGGATACTTTACTTGTAAAAAAATAAAAAATAAATAAAAAAAAGGAAGAAGCTATGATGTCTCCTACTAATAACTGTTACTGTAGCGTGAACAATGCTCTGCACTACATTAATGTTATAGTCAGTACTGCTACAGCACTCCTCTGCATTATTACTTCTGTGTTCGATTCTTTGGAGTTCTGATTTTTAAAGATTTACTTCTTTATATTGACGTATGGTAAAATAAAATTAAAGTGAACTTTGCTACAGATTGGTCCCTGCAGAAGAATATCGAAAAGTTGTTGATTTCTTTGTTTACAACTGAGATAGATTTTTATAGTTACCTGTGGCTCTTCATTGAACTTGTATCTCATTTTTATATATTACATTATTAACTGCTATAATTTTCAAGTTGATAATTTAGATTTTCGTTTTCTGTTATTTTGGAAGATTTACTTTATTGCTTTGTATAACCCTTGGAAAACTACAATTCCTAAAGTGAGCCATTGGTCAAATCATACCATTTAACTGATTCTTCCTATTGACATTGTTTCAGATTAAGTATAAGAGCTTCGGTGAAATTGAAGAAGGAAAGAAATGGTGGAGGATTCCCATTGTTGCAGAATTTCTTTCAAGAAGTGGTTTAGAGCCTGCTTTGAAGATGGTTGCTGGTTCAGAGACAGTGCCAGCACGCCAGTTTGTTCAATATGCTTTTGGACAGTTGAAATCTCTTAATGATGCATACCCTCAGAAAGATCGGCTTCCATACAATGATAAGTATGACAAAGAAGGTATTGGTCGATCTAATGATCATGTTATTGAAACAGACATGACTCCGCAGCTGGAGAATGGTTCAGAGACCTCTTTTAATGACATGAGCTGTAAGGACAGCAATCTGCCAGAGTTCCACCCAGATACTGGTGTTATGGATAATGGAGATACCTTTTCACCCGTGATACAAGTTGGTGAATCCTCACAGTCAGATAAACAGTTTTGGAAGACTTTTGCTGATGTTGTCAATAAGAATGTCGTTCAGAAACTTGGTCTCCCTGCTCCTGAGAAAATAAAGTGGGATGGGTTTGACTTGTTAAACAGGCTTGGTTTAGAGTCACGAAGAATTGCAGAAGCAGATTATGTTGAATATGGGCTTGCAACTCCAGAGGATCAGGATGCTGTTAACAGTGATGCAACAACTGGACCATTGACCATTGGCACTATCCGGTCTTCACTGCCAGATATTAAGAGGGTGACACAAGATATATTAAGGCAAACTGATTCTATTTTGGGGGCATTAATGGTTCTGAATGCTGCAGTTTCTCAATTAAACAAAGAAGGACTTATTGTAGGAAAGAGTGAAACCAAAGATGATAATTCTACCAAAAATGCTGACGATGTCCTTGGATATGCCAATGGTGAAAATCTTGCAATCCCACTGGATGGATCAATATTGGATGAAAAGAAAGCTGCGGAGATGAGGGAACTTTTTTCAACTGCAGAGAGTGCCATGGAGGCTTGGGCAATGCTTGCCACTTCTGTGGGCCATCCAAGTTTTATTAAATCTGAATTTGAGAAAATATGTTTCTTAGATAACACTTCCACAGACACACAGGTTAGGTTTTATCTTATCATCTAGGAGCCCGCTTTATATTCTAATTCTCTAAACTTGATGAAATTAATATGTCATCTTAAACCCCTAATTGGGTTAAATTAAATGCCATTATTGATCAGTAGGATCATATTCTGTGGATAACTAAGTTATAAAAAACTGCAGGTGGCAATATGGCGTGATCCAGCACAGAAAAGACTAGTTGTTGCCTTCAGGGGAACAGAACAAGTAGGCTATTTTGTCATGTTCATCGATAGAGTTAGTTGAATAAAGAATTTAGTTAGAAATGCTGATTTATTCATTTTTCAGGCTAAGTGGAAGGACTTGCTAACAGATTTGATGCTGGTTCCTGCCGGGTAATATCTTAGTTCTAGTTAAGATATGGAATGCTTAATAAATTGTCTTTCTTTTTCTTTTTTTGGGTTCCCCGAGAGGTCCATTCATTCAGCGTATTTAGTTTTTGTTTTGCTTTATTTTTCTTTTTCTTTTTCCAAACCCCATAATGGTTTCAGTGGATGTGGGTTTGTAATTTGGTACAGAAAGATTAGCAGCATATATTGTGAATTTCATGTCATTAGCAGCAACATTTTCATACTTTATTACAAAAGAGCATAATCATCTGGAAAACAAGCTTCCACCTCAAATGATTAAATTGGTTCATAACACTGTTGTGGGTAAATGATACTTGATGATTTTTTATTTTGTAATTGTTACCAATGCTTATATGTCATAATTTTCCTTTCTCTGCTAATGCATGTCTAATATATTTCTTATTTATGTTACATTTATGCAAGGGTTTTCTAGCCCTGGCAATTTGAAGTTTTCATATACATTAGGTTTACTTTCAATACTAATTGATTCTTCTAGTTGTGGCTTTCGTAACTTTAAGACAGCATTTTATAAGTTATATATTTTGCTTCCTTATTGTTAACTTCTCTTCTACTTCTACAGGCTAAACCCTGAAAGGATAGGTGGTGATTTCAAGCAAGAAGTTCAAGTATGATCATTGTTTTGTGGTTTTAATTTTAAGATAATCCATGATGACCTATCTTATCTACTTCATTTTCATGATTTGTTGAATGGTGCTTTTTTTTCAGGTTCATAGTGGTTTTTTAAGTGCATATGATTCAGTCAGGACAAGGATTATTTCTCTCATTAAACTGGCTATTGGGTATATGTAAGTAGTGCTATTTTATGAATCTAGTTAAGTTTTGCCTAAACTATAAGCTAATGAATGGTGTTCCATGAGAGGAAATATCTGAACAGTAACCACCTCATGGACTCTTCACTTGGTAATTTTGCTTCACTTTTATTTTAGTTTTTGTCTTATGCAATATTACTTAGTAACATTAGTTTTTCTGTTTCAAGGTGTTGAGATGAGTTGTGCTGAAATTTAAAATTGTGTGATGTGTGGATTTATAGATGTTACTAAATTTTGTTTTATATACATCAGATTTCAAACTAATCTTCTTTTTCTTGATTTGCTTTTAGCTTTTCCCTGCTCCTTATCTGTCATTTTTCTATATTTGTCATCTTGGGCTTTTTATGGATTTCGTCATTGTATGAGAACCTTTTACACGATATTTTTCTCCCTTAACACATTCACTCTCAAAATTGGAAATGTATATAAGCTTCGCAGCCTGAGATATACACTTAGTGATAGGATCACATTCTTGGGGCCCTCATGTGACATAATTTGGAGGCAAAATGCACCACTGATTGTAGACTTTTCTTTTTCCTTTTTTTCTTCTTCTTTTTTTCTTTTTTTTCTTTTTTTTTTTCCCTTGAAAGCTTTCTAACCTTTTTTGTGTTTAATCGTAATCTTCAGTTTGAGTAGTGCTATAATATAAATGCTATATGATGGTTAATAATCCCGGCTGTTACCCCTTTGTCATTTTTCTGGTTGCACTGTCTGTAATGTTGAAGACATTACTTGAACATTAACTTATCCATGTCGATTTTATATGTCAGTCTCTCCTTTAGACTATGAGATCACAAATCCAGTGTTCCTTGCTATGGTCTTTAGCAATTATCTGTTCATATATTTTCTCCTTTGCAGCTACAAATCTATATATACACACGTGCAAACAACATATGCATATCATGCAATGTGGTATTTTTATAAAAAAATCCATAACCAAAATGTGATTTGTGCAGAGATGATGGTGATGAGGTGCTGCAAAAGTGGCATGTTTATGTGACTGGTCATAGCTTAGGTGGTGCATTAGCTACCCTCCTTGCTCTTGAACTTTCATCAAGTCAATTAGCAAAGTGAGTTCTTTTTCCTTCTACTCGACCTAATTTTGTCTTCTCCATCTGTTCTCGTGATGATAGCATGCTGTTTGCAACTGCACAAACAAATATGTGGTGGGAAAACTTCAAATTTCTCCAATCCACTCCAATCCTTTAACAAAACTATGTGTTTCTCTACTGGTCTACCTCTGTCCTAGCAGATTTGGGTCTTACCTTCCAAGCCCTAGGTCAAGGTTTCTAGACTGGTAGAGAGAGAGAGAGAGAAAAAAAAAAAAAAAGTGTTTCTTTTACACAAGTTGGTATTCTCAATTTCTCTTTATATGTACTGGATGTCCTGCTGGTCGTCGTCTCCTATCATCTTATTTACTCTTAAACTTCAATAAAGGAAACTTACCTGATATTACAACACAGTTTAAACAGGTGTATCTATTGCCTTCTCAAACCTTTATGGTGTTATTTTATTTAAATGATGTGAAATTCAGTTTATTTATTTCGATTAATCCTTTCAAGTATGTGTTAAAAGATCAAGTTTGTTAAAATATTTGGAAAGGACTGGTTAAATTTTTAAATCCATATAAGGTCAAGTTGATATTCATGATATATTTAGAAATCCAGGAGATTATCACATGCTTGTCCTGTAAAAGCTAGAGTGTTTGGTTGTTTTTTTATGAAAGATATGAGTGGCAATTTGGATGCAAATTTATCTTTCTACTTCTTCGTTTCTGTTAGGCGTGGGGCAATTTCTGTGACTATGTATAACTTCGGATCTCCTAGAGTTGGAAACAAAAAATTTGCTGAAGTTTATAACCAGGTAAATTACTGTCGCAATTTTAGTTTTAATGTTGTCAATCATAAAGCTTGGATGTTGATGATGTATTGGGCAAAGATCCTCCCTTTTCTACATTCTGTCCCTTGTATAAAAGGCTACCACAAGAATAATTAAGTTCTAGTATATTAAGGGAACAGTGTTGGTCTGACTGGTATAGTTTGGTAAGACTGTCTAAATACTTCCAATTGGCTATGTGAGAGAACTTATGGGTAAAAAGTATTTAAAATTGCATAGCGAAAATAAACAAACGCCTATCAGAAAAAATACCTTTTCTCTTTATACCCAAATAACATATCATTTTGACCCCTCATTTTGTCAATTTTTTTTTTTTTTTTTATTTTTTTTTTAGCACTTGTCATTTTTATTTCAGTGATGCCATTTTTTAACATCATATTTTCTCATTTCCATAAAACTCCAAAAATTACATTTTAGCCTCACCATTTTGTTAATTTTCAAAAAAACTCAAATTCTAAAAATATGCCACATCACTTCTTACTTTCTTATTTTTCTAAAAATCATGAAAATTCCTAGATATGCTATTTTAGTCCCCCAATTTGATTCAAAATATGTTTTAACTTATTCAAAATCATTTTTTCTAAAGGAAATTCTGAAACATTTTCCATAAGTTTCTCTAGAAATCAAAATTACCAAAGGAAGAAGGATTGAATATCCAATTATTTAATCCTGAATCAACCCATGGTTGACATAAAGTTAAATCCTTAAGCATTACACTCATTTCCAAAAACCAAAAACTATTTTTTTGAAAATAAGTCAACTTGAATTAATTATTAAGGATAAAGATAAGGGAATATTGTTTCAGAATGTGGTAACTATGGAATTTCCATGGCTGTTCCCGATTCTATAAATCATGGTAACATAGATCTATATGGAGTTACTAATTAGAGGACCTTTAAAAAAAATATCAAATTACTTTCCCTAAAAATTGCATTTTCAGAATCTGATTTCGAAGGTGGCCTAACACATCTAATCCAATGTTAGGTGGTGATCCCCTACATTTCTACATATGGTCCTCATTTAAAATTATTTTTCCATTGCATCAAAACTATCTTCCAATTCACACCATCGTTCCATTAGCCTTGTCACAGCCCTAGTATATGTGAAGGCCCTATTTCAAACTACTTTTGTTGCATTTCAATTCACATCATTCCGTTTCTTATTTTAAAAAATCCAAACCACCACTTGGAACAGGTGCAACAAAAGACACTTAAAAGCTGCACACGAGCTACATCACCACTATTAAACATGTTTATAGGTTAAATAGAATTCATTAATGATCACTAATAACATTATTTGTGGGACGAGTGGATCATTTTGGTGGGGGGGTGGTGAATTGAGTTAAAACGCATATCAGTAGAACTAACGTGAGTTGTGCAAGCAGACACCCATTATGTTCCATATTGACTCCTATCCTACGAGGTAAGCTAACCAAGTGTTTCTCAGCTTGGAGGATTTAGAATTTGCAATTGAGTCTCATCTTGAGCTTTCTAAAACTTGCTATTGACCAGTTGTTTGTCTCCTTCAGACCTAATCAAGCATGGAGAGAAAAAGATTCCTTCTTTATTTAATTTCTTAGGAAAAAGAGGATTGCCTTTGGCTTGGGTGGTTTGATTTCAGGAAGTCCCTAACTAGGAAATATTTGCAGATAAGTGATGCACTCAATATGTTGAGCAATCTATTCACCGAGTTTGTTCTAGTCATTTAGATTCCGGAAGAATATTAATATCTAGAACTCTTATATAAGCATCGTGCCCATAATATGGCAAGTGATATTAGCCACTTCATTGGGCCTGATTATTGACATTTCCTTGAAAAGTTTTTTTTTTTTTCTTTTTTTTTCTTTGTTTGGAAGTTCATTTAATTGAAAAGTTAAATTTTATTGTTCCTCGTGTATAGGAAAAATTATTTGAACTGTCTTCTTTTACATATTATCAGATTGTTATAGACTATTCCTTTGTTTAGCCTACCAAGTCTTGAGCATTACATTGCAGAAAGTTAAAGACAGCTGGAGAGTTGTAAACCATAGAGATATAATACCAACAGTTCCACGCTTGATGGGCTACTTCCATGTAGCTCAACCTGTATATCTTGCAGCTGGAGATCTAAAAAATGCCATGGTGAGTATTTGATCTGGAAATCATATTTTGTTTTTTTTTTTCTTGTTTGACCTGCTCTGAGGTTTGCAAATTCCACTCTCAGATTAAACTATCTCATAAATCACTCTGGCATCCCAGAGTTAATGGTTTACAAGCAGAAAATATAAAAAGACAAAACTACTCTCACCAACAAAGAATATCCGACTTACCGATGTCATGTAACAGCGTAAATGATAAAACCCACCCAATGTGTTGGGTGGCAGTTAATATATAACAAAGTTTGCTGTTATTCCATCATTTAAAAGGATTAGAAGGGTAAATCGGTAATTTCATTCCGTAGAAGGGTAATTTTAGCATGAAATAAAAAACTTCCTGATGGCTCTAATGGACCGTCAATGGTGGGACCTACCTTTATATTTTACCAAACCTCAACGGAGGCTGACCACAATTTTAACCAATGTTTAATCTGAGGTTTGCAAACCTGAAGAGTGATAAGGGCAATTTACCCAATAAAATTCAGGAAAAAAAATTTACCCAATAAAAAATAAACTACTTCAAGTCATTGACCTTGTCCTGTTGAAAGATATCACTTTATCTTCCATCCACTTTAAACTTCGTTAAACAAATAGTATGGATAGATGGCAATTCATTTTTCTTTCTTTTCTTCCTAGTTGAAACTCACACACCTACTTTGCCCCCTATGGGAACTTGAACCGTCAATCTTCTAATTTGAAAAGTGAGAAAGTACCACTAGGCTACAGCCCTTGATGGTGATAGATGACAGTTCTTACTAGTACTAAATTCTGATTATTATGTTGCTGACTAGAAGTTAACTGTTGTCTTGGCTGGTTGACTTAACCCTAGAGAAAATCTGTGAGATACTGAGATATATAAATTTCACTTTAGAAATGACTCGAGGGCACTTTTTACATGAGCATTTTCAAGCAGCTTTGCAATTGATTCTAGCAAATCTTTTTTGACTGCCACATCCATGCTACAGGGTATATTTCTTCCCCTTCAACACTTAAAGAACCGTAAAGGAATCTGTTTCTTATACATTTTACACGATATTAGGTTTATTTAAATTTTAATCTACTTTTCATCAACTAAAATAAATAAATGCAGTATTTTTACTACTTGGTGTGGCTGACAAAATCCAATGTTATCAACTTATTTTCTTCATTAACTTCAATATTTGGCAGTCATATACTGCAATACACTCTTTAATCATAAACAACATTTAAAATTTTGCACCCTAATGACCAGGACTTGCCCGTATAAATGTTAATCTTATCTGGAATTGCAGTTTTTATGGTTAAAACATGCTATTTCAGGAGAATATGGAGCTCTCGGGAGATGGTTACCAGGGTGATGTAATTGGGGAGTCCACACCTGAAGTTCTCATAAATGAATTTGTATGTTTCTTGTCCTTTACTCCTCTTCTCTTTGCGGTAGTCTATTTCGTTCATTGTTCTTATATATGATATAATATCCATATATCCAGATGTTTCCCATTAAATGATCAATGTCATTGGTATCCTTGGGTTGTTGATAAATCATCAATGTTATTTATGTCTATGATGATGATCAACACATCATGATTCTCGCTTTTATCTCGTTACTCCCGTATGAATGGGGTCGGCCTATGTCTCTGATATAATCGACATATTATCGATATGGTAATATATCCACTTGCGAGGTTGAGCCTTGGCACAACAGTAAGGTTGCTCCATGGTGACCTGGAGGTCATGGGTTCAAAACGGGAAATAGCCTCTCCGCATGCGGAGGTAAGTCTGCGTACATATTACCGACCCTCCCCAGACTGCGTAATGGCGGCAGCATCGTGCACTAGGCTAGTCCTAACATATCCACTGGCATGCAAGATATTGGATTGATATTTTCAGTGATAGTCGTCTTTTTGTTGTTTGATTTGTTAGATATAGAAAGGCACACAGCCTTTCACCCAGTTTGATTTATGGCTGGGGAGGGCTACTTCCATTGTGTAGCCATCCAATGGACTAAAAAGAAATCGGAGGGCTAGAAAGGCGTCACCATTTGCTCAAGGCAACACATTCTTCAGTGGAACTGTGGTTTTGCTAAAACATTTTTAACAGGCTTTTCTAGCATGCATAATTGATAGTGGATATAATATGCATGTTATTATTTTGTTTGGTTGATGCTATAATTTCAATTAAATGAATTGAACTTTTTAAATACACAGTCTACAACAAATTATTTTGTTTAAACTTTTATGTTTCATGCTGATCAGAAAGATAAATATCATTTAAACTAAGTATGAGTGAGCTGTCTATGAATCTCACAGGATCGGATGTGTTTTTCTTCAGTTATGTCCACTTTCTTGATATTCCCTTTATAATTGTACGAGTAGATTCAAGTGTCAGAGGTACCATTCTGATTTCTGACCTTGTTTCTGATGGAGAAATTTTTATACAGATGAAAGGTGAGAAAGAACTCATTGAAAAAATATTAAATACGGAGATAAACATTTTTCGCTCAATCAGAGATGGGAGTGCACTTATGCAGCATATGGAGGATTTCTATTACATTACACTGCTGGAGGTATTGGCTGTCCATAGTTCTTATGCCTACGTATGATATTCACAAAACCTGTGATTGTTCAATTGATTAACTCCTAAACCTCTTTGCCTTTTCAGTATGTGAGATTGAACTACCAAATTGTTGCAACGTCGCAAATCAATGAAGAAAGTAGCATATCTGTCAGTTAAGAAGGCTATGGTGTATGATGACCGTGGGCAAGCTTAAATTTGCAATTTGTTCGGTAATTATTTGAAATATTCTTGAAGCGTTATCTGGCATCATGCCCACGACAGACAATATTTTCTGTAAAGATCCAGTCATTCAGGTCAATTGTGCAGCCTGATGCAGCCTTCCGTTTTCACAAGATTGTGGTATTTATTGTATGCCCTTCCTGATTTGCAAGATCATGTACAGGTTGATGATTGAAAAATGAATAACATTCATAGTTGTATATGAACTCTCAGTTTCCTCAGCAAGCAAGATACCAGACCTCTGTTCAAAGGGGTAAAGTACCAGACCTCAAATTCTATAGCTTCACTGCAGGTTTGCTTCGAATCCATTATGCCCATGTAGATGCTGACCACTCTTCCCTCTAGAGCTTTTCCAGGTGGGCAATTGAATCAGTCCAATCATCAACCCATACATCGATTTGTTGGCATCATCACATGGCCACTGTCAAGTAGTACTCAAGAACCATGTCGGTGTCTCTGCAGCTTAATCACAGTATATTTTAACATTAATTATCTTTGTTGAAATTAAGTGATACCATTTAAACTAAAGCACTTGCTAGAAGAAACTAGATGAGTGAAGGACGTTCCAAATCCTGTGAAATAATCACTGTTTTTAATAAAAGGTTCACACGTATTTGTACGGATTTGTAATAAGTTTGGTTGCAATATTATTTGTCCATTTGTGCGGTGTGTAGGTTTCTGAGCATTATTGCTTTCTCAAAGAGTAACCTGTGAGATAATAAGTATGTTAAATGTGGATAACAACTCTGCTACTTGCACTAATTAGAACATCAATGCTGTTGAACAAACATGTACTTTGAGCCTGCAGAGTAGGTGACTTGAAGACTTTTCCCAGTTTTTTTTTTTTTTTGTTTCATTGGCAAGAAAACTTAGGCACCCATTTGTTTCTACAGGAACTCTCACCATTCTTTTGGAAAGTTGAGGAGATATTACTAGGCTACAACCTACCATTCCTTTGAAAGGTTGAGGAGGTAGATATAACCTTCGGCAGATACTTTCTTGATAAACCACTAGAAAAAATTTTCCCCCAAAAGTTAAACCACTAGAAATTGAGCACTGGAAATCCTCCTCTTTATTTTTCACCTTATCCCCCTACCCTCAACCCAATCAGCTCAACTGTTAACATGATTGTTTACTGGGCTAAGTTTATTATGATAATGAAGAAGAAAATCCCATAATAATATGATTATGATGGAGTTTGTGCGAAAAAGATATAGCAATCCTAAACATGTGGTTTAAGACTGAGAAGGGAAATTTCTAAGCTCAAAGAAGGATAATATATGAAGGAGGATATGTGTCAAAATATAATATGAATCATATTAAAGCATTCGATGACTGAGTACACTCAAGATTAGCTCACATCCTCAATCATTGAATTATTGAATCGAGAAATGAAATCACTATTCAATGAATCTAATGAACGAGGGTGTGAACTCACCGTGAGTGCGCCCTCATCCTAACCCACCTCTTTCCGAAATAATTGAAGTGAAAGTTGTGGATACCATTTAACTGCACACTGATATAATATCTGTATTTATTGATAATATTAATGGCCTATTAGTAATTTACAACTGTGTTTAATTTTTCATCTCTGTTTTACAGGTGCAAGCTTTATGAATGACCCTTAGTGATGTGTGTTGCCTTCTTCTTGTAGCTCATGATTCGCAAGCTCTGCCTCAGTATGTCCACCTCTCTCTCCCTTTTGGATCCTTCTTGCTCCATGGAAACTATTCTTGCTTGAAGAAGTTCAATGGTTTCTTCCTTGCCTTTCAGTTCTCTCTGTAGCTCCTCCATTAAGTCTTCCTCCTCTGTTCTCCAGCATAGCGTATCTCCTGCAAAACAGAGTATGTTGTTATCTTGAACAATCTTATTCTTGTTGAGTCAAATTATCTTAAATTCACACTATCTCATGTCAAACATCCTATATTTGGTCTCCCTTAGAAACATATGTATACTAAAATATATTTATATATGTGTATATATATTAATAAAAATCTGACATATTCAGACAAATTATTGATAAATTAGAAAACAATGTAAAATTAGGAGGCAGAATTGTGTGATGTTATTGAAAGACCTTGTTGTGCCCATTATTTTATGATAAAGAATGTGACGGCCTATATGGACGGGTATGGATAGACACTGGGTTAGCACAATCACAAGTCGCCTAGAAAAAGGAAAGGTGAAATGCTTATATGTAGTGGTGCTATCCAAGAACAAAATCGTCCGGGTTCAAGTCCAAAGCGGACATTATCAAATGCTATGACCATTCCCATAGCAGCAGATTGAACAACAATGGCTTACCATATGCTATATTGAGGAATATTATGCCATGTGGTAATAAGAAGATGAGGAGAGGGTTATACCTTGATTTGTCTTCTGAATGAGATCATCAAGCTCAATCTTGATAGCAAGATAGAGCTGCTTCCACTTCTCCACGGCCTCGTCCCGCCGAGCTCTCTCCTCCCTCATGTGCTCCACCATGTAGCTGGTAGCTCCCAACAGTGGCGGCCATTCCAACTTGTCACATTTCTCTCCCGCCACAATCTCATCCTCCATATCTCTAATCCTGTCCTCCCTCTCTTCCAACCTCTTCCTCAGCCTCTTCACCTCCTGCCTCAGCCTCTTCCTCTCGCGCTTCCACTCGGCTTCCTTGAGTGCATAAACCATCATCTCTCTCTCATAAGCTTGCCCCTCACTCTCTCTCATGCACATTACCTCGTTCATCTCCCCTTGGAGGACCCTTATCTTGTGTATCAAACCTTTCACATCTCTCTCACATGGGCTTCTCTTCTGCTTGCTTTGAATACTACCCATTACTGAGCCTTTCTTGCTTTATAATTTTTGCTCACACTCAACGAACATAACAGACAACACTCTTCTTATGCATATATATAAATATACTTATACATAAGTGCGTGTGTGTGGTCTGGATTATAAGATAAAAGTGTGGATGACATAAATTCTTTGCAGAGGCTCCTCCATGGATTTGAATGGGCTGCCACTAAATATCTACTGTAATTAATAGAGAGGTGTGGGAAGATGCCCGTGAAGAGGACTGGTGGTGAGTGAATCTAGTAATGATGGAGACATGCAATCAAATGTAAACACTTTATTTTTTTTATTTTTTTATTTTCTTGGCAATCAAATCTTAGGAGATACATATATAATATATATATATATATATGGTTGTCACATGAATCATTTAGGAGCATAGGCAAATCAATATATTTAAAAGCCTAATATACAGACAAACCACAGTGGCAAAGTGGGGCATTTGTTTCCTGTAATAAGGTGACATGAGTATGTACTTGGAGCATCTTTTTACCATCAGAGGAGACTGGCAATCGTTATGGTAATTGGAAGAAGCAAAAAACGTGTCCCCACCTACAATAATTCATTCATGGCTAGGCTGTTTTGGTAGGTTGGTTGAATTATTTTTTGATTTGATCACCAAACTTACCAATAATGTTAGGAAATTCATGGGAATGAAGTAGGTGGGAAATGGTGAGTTCTTTTACTGTTGGATTTCTGTCATAAGTTCATACCAAAAGAAGACAGAAGACTATCGATATGTCAACCAACTCTGTGATGGATTTCCACCGAGCCTCTAGTCCGAATTGTAAGGTCTCTCCTTTACAAATGGCCTGTTCAGAGTTCGAGCCCTTCAAGCCACATTAGGGGCATATTGTGGGTATGATTTTGTTTTTGGTTTTGGTTTAAGGATAAATTATACTTAATTCTCTTTAGGGTTGGAGAAAAATTATGCACGAGTCCACCATTTAGTATTTATTAGTTTGAAGTCCCTGAGATGTGGCGAATGTGCTCCACGACACTCCTAGTGTGTTTTTTTTTTTCTTCAGCATATAATATATTATTAAGGACATTATTGACTGTTTACATTCAAAGTCACATTTTGATTGCATAGAAATGAATTTGACGAAGGTTAAAGTAATAAACGTTGAACAGTCTACTCGTATATAAATTATATAAACCTCATAGGAGTTTAGTGTAATTTACCCTTGATTTACCTTACCCCAAAAAAAAAAAAAAAAAAAAAATCCTGTAAATCCTACCTTCTCTTAAAACTTGTCATCCATCTTTACCCAAAAAAACCCATAAATTCTGATGACTACGACCAAAATTTTTAAATAAATAAATAAAAACTACTAAGATGAAGCAAATAAATTATTTTAGAAAATTTTACTTGACATTTTGAACCTACCCCACGTTCGTTTATATCTACTTAGTTGCATTCCTAAACAATTTTTTGCTTTTTTTAAAAAAAAATAAAAATAAAATTTACCTCACTACCATGGCATATATTTACAAGTACATCACAATCTCTATTTATTTTTATTTTATTTTTTGTTTATTTTTTGCTTTTGGATTTAGTTTTGGTACATGAATGTTGTTCCACGTATGCACAAAGAGTAATGCAAATATGGTACCCTGTAGTCACCTATTAGTAGTGACTACTACTACATCATTGGATCCCCTAGGAATAAGACGTACGAGTATAATAATGACCACTTACCCATCTCAATACTCCATGCTTGTCTACTAGCCTGCCATTGTGGGTCCCTTTTTTCAACCAATTTTCAACGTTTTCCCGGTGGCTTTTAGACTACCAGCTTCCTGTTCCTGGAAAATAGTCCAATTATTTGCTTGGCTAAAATTGTGTGCATGACTGTAGATGTATATTTACTATTTAGTCATGATTCTTTGTCATGTGGAAAGAGTTAATCAATGGTAGCTCAAATCCTCTTTGAAGCATTGTGTAATTTATGCATGTACATATATATGTGTGTTTGTGTATGTATGCTTGATAGTTTAGAATTTTGAAATTTTTATCTTTTTGGTCTTCATATGTTATGGGCACTAGTTTAGACGGTATAAACCGTGTTACGTTAGGTATTTTTCAATTCATACTGGACTCATCATTATTTCGTAGTGCAGACACTGCTAAAAATAAGAGAAGAAAAATACGCTAGGTGTTTCCCGATCTTACTCAAAAGCTTAAGCTATTAAGTGTGGCTAACATATATTTGTGTCCATACCCTTCTACTAGTGGTTAAAGTACATATGGCGTAAGACAATTAGGAAAGAAAGAGAAAGCGGAGTCACACTCACTAGCGTGTCAATTCGCTTCTTGTTTTCTAGTCCCTACGCCCCCTTCTACATCAAAGGTTCAAGGCTGAAGTCAATTTTAATCTTGGTTCAAGCATCAATCCTTCCCTGCACTTTGGGTTCATCATAAAATATAAGTCATTTTACTTTTTATCTGAATCTAATACGAGACAAGACTCTCACTGTAACGTGTGGATAAATTTTTTTTATATCACCAATCCATTGTTCTTTGGACCTTAGGTAGGAAGGGCTAGGATGCAGATGGGCTAAGAAATTTGTGAGGGACAAACCCAAGTCCAGCCCTTTACTGTCAAAACTCTGCTTTAATATGAACTCCCGGACTTGGCCCTATAGACAGCTGCCAAAGCCCAAGCAAAATCTAATATGTTTATATATCTTTTGTTATTAAATAAATGGCCCATGACAGATACCAGAAGAAGCATATTATATCTACTGTACCCATAATACCCTTATTATTGCTTCAATTTATATAATATTTTCAAATTTTTTTGGGGGGAAGTTTAATTTATAATTTTCATGTCCTACTATGTGGTCAGTGGTCATGGATATATAGAGTTAAGATATAATAAATAATTGGGTAAAGTGCAAAAAAACTCCCTTAAAATATTGGCCATGTAGCGGAAAATTCCCCTGATCTACTAATTTGGCATATAACCCCCCTGAATTAACCAATTTAGTGCAATTAACCTCGTCCAGTGATAAGCCAGTTGAATTTGACCGTGACTGACGACACACGTGATGGGTCACGTGACAACCCAAATTTCTTTAAATGACCATACAACCTTTTACCTTTACACCAAAAACCACTTAAAACACGCCATTGTGCTAAATACACATTGTTCATTGTCAATAAAACAGATGATACCTTCACCACCATCCCCACAACTACACCTTCGGACACAAGGAAAACCACTGTCGCCTCGGCCGAATCATTCAAGAACAGCTCATCAGCGAAGCAAGAAATCATCGATCCAGCTCACTGGGGTAAAACCAGTAGAGAAAGGAGACCGAAGGTCGTCGATGGCAGTAGCGAAGCACCACGGTGGCTTCCCCCTCCAAAAATTGATCCACCGCTCCTTCCCGGAATCGACCCAGCACTGGTCCGCCTTACGTTCCTCTCCTCTTCTTAATGACAGCGGCTTTGCCCAAATTAGCCTCCGCTCCTTCCTGGTGCTTGACAGCAACAGGGATAAGCTCAATTGATGGTGTTAGCTGTGATGGAGGCAGCGGCGAGCTCAGAACAAGGAGGTTGGCGAATGAGGCAAAGCTCGGCGCTGACTTGCAACGGTGCTCAAAACACGGACACCATCACCGCACGATACCCAACACACCAACCCTGCTAACAGATCCAAGAACCTTCTCACCGTCCTCCGCCGTAAATCTCTGGCACCCGTCGCCGCCGTCGACTACCGCATAATTAAGTTTCGCCGCTGCGTCACCGTCTTCTTTCTTCTTCTCTTCTGGCAGCAACAAGATCCTCGACTTATTCGACATCTTGAAGTTCAATCCAATCGCAGAACGCCGTGGATTCACATGGCACGAATTTATGAAATTTTTGGATGCCGTCGAGGTCGTCGCCAGTCTGTAGGAGGGTGCCATCGGGGAGGAACTGAACAAAAGAGCACCACATGTCGGCGAGGGTCATTAACAGTCGGATTTGGTTGGCCTGGAGGTCCAAGGCGAAAGAGATGGGCCGATTGGATTGATCTACACACATCAATCGAAGCCACGATCTGAAGCTGTGTAACTCGTCGTACGCGTGTGAAACACTTTGCGAGAATATTTTGTCTTTTACTGAAACGACGTAGTTTTATATAAGGGGTAAAATTCTATTTTACTATTTCCGTTATAACTAATTGGCCGAAGATGTCACATTGGGGGTTAATTGCAAAAATTCTATAGTTTAAAGGGGCAAATTATAGTTTAGATAGATTAATTGTACATGGTCAATACTTCAAGGGGATTTTTTTGCACTTTACTGTAAATAATTTGCGTGGTCCAAGCTGCACGTGGGCCTTTAACCTATGATGGTCAATCCTAACTTTTGGGCCCAGCCTGAATTATAAATGCCAATAGGCCAGCGTAACATAATTATGATAAAGGCAAACCTAAGTATCATAAAAATCAATGGGGAAGACTTTCTTCTTGTTGTAAGCTTTTAAGAGTGTCAAATGTACGTTTTATTATTATTATTTTTTAAAAATGATAATGATAACATAGTAATCATAAGTAGCTTAATTATACGTTGATAAGAGGAATAACTGGCTTTGTTTTTATCAATGTGCCTCCGTTTATTTGGATGTAAAATATTTTTTATTTTTTTATGTTTAGTTATATTAAAATAATTACAAATAAAAAATATTAAAATTTAACCAAAAAAAAATAACCCTCGTCCGATGGACTCGATCTAGATTTTTGCCAAATACCAAAAAAATTAATATATATATATTACCTAAAAAATATTTTAAGTCGGAACAAATAGAATCCAGATTGCAAACTCATTAAATCTCTTGATGTGTATTCGTATACTAGTTCTATAATTAAAATATATCACTGTTTGTGGGTTTTGTTCTGCTTTACACGTAGAAATATCGGTTTAATTTTCAAAAAGTTCAGTTTCTTTTGAATGTTCAAAAATCTTAATGTTTCAATAATATTATTATGCATCACTGTAAGAAAATAATATATTCTCATATAAGTTTAGAGGTATTTATTTTTCATAAATTATCAAGAGGTAACGTACGTGATTGACATGGTTGTGTGTGTGTGTGTGTGTATTCTCTACATTGAACAATATTTACTGTCTTGTATTTACTTTCGTCAACAA